TATACTGATAGTTTTCATGACAGCTGTCGTGTCACGCCGCCCCGCGCCGCAACAGCTAGAGGCTGTCTACACTGGACGCGACAAAGCGACCGCTGTAAATTATTTGAACTTTGTGTCAGTACATCATAAAAAGAAGTAGGGATTTACTCTCGGGGATTTGTCGTGCCACGCCGCATCCAGTGTAGACCTCTTCACTGATTATAATGGGTTGTATTGTATTTTATCACGTTGCGCTGCGCCACTCACATCTGGTGTAGACACAGTGAGAACCACGCAGATGCACGTGAGCACCGTATTCCATTGCTCTCCGAGTCTATTTGTGCCTGAAATATAACAAAGAGTGAAAAATTTAAGGGGGTATGAATACTTTCCGTACCCACTGTACATGTGAAACTGTCAAAATGCAAGTCTCTGCAATTATCCTTGTAACGAGTAGACCAGACAAACACAAACTGAACAGACTGGGACTTATAAACACAGGGCAATCAGGGGAACACAGGTGCATGAAATGAGTCAATTAACTGGGACACGGAACACATGGGGAGCGTGACAGTCCAGGGGCGTGACAGATACTGGTTCAATTTTATTATAAACTTTTATTAGCACAGCCATTCTAGTGACAATGGAAGTGCGAAGTATGGATGAAAAATGGTAATATAGTTTATATTAAAACAATATGATTTATGCACTAATTTCTACAGTACAATGGACAGAGTTTCAAATGCTCCTAACATGCATTCACAGATATTGACCAGATTTCTTTCTTTCATTCTTGTTTGTAATGATATACTAACAGCTAATGAATCTTTCTTTATTTTATTTTATTTTATTTTGTGTCTGTGTGTGTGTGTGTAAAGAACAGAGTAGGGAATGCATGTACTGTTGACAGTATCAACATTATTGTTGTTTACCTTTATATCATAAAGATTGAAATCAGAGTCTTATTATAAAGAGATCAGGGCCCTCAAACAACTCAAAAACACTGTACAGCTTCAAAGGAATTAAGTTGGTTTGTGAGTTCTTTGGACCATTAGGTAGCCTAGGTCATGCTTTGGTTGCATCAAATCCAAGTACTAACTTAGGCTGCATGACCATATTCAGGTCTCATCTGTCATAGATTGACCATTGCCAATTGTCTAGTAGTACACAACCAAGACATTTGTGTGTGTGTGTGTGTGTGTGTGTTCATTTTGTGATGTGTAACAACTTAGTTGATCAGTAGTTTGTTGTTCTTCAGTAAGTATAAAAGATTCAGTAATTACTAGATACCTAAAAGTAAACTGACCAGTCATCAGTTTGACAACTACTTAATTATGCTTATATTTTAGTTAATATTGGTGACTGAGGAGAAATGCTTTATTCTTTATTTGTTCTGCATTAGTTCCTACATAGATATGTATTAATATCAGTATTATAGAGTGTTACCAAAGTATCTTTACAGTATAGCTGCTTAATGGGGCAATATATATATATATATATATTTTTTTTTTAATAAATACCTTTCCAGTGAAGGAATTATATTAATGAGGGTTTTTTATGCTTGAAAAACAGGGTTTTATTAACCAAATTGTTTAATAATTTTAATTTTTTTTAACTGAAATGAACGGATTCACTAGAATAAAATGGACTTTCCAGCAAATACAAACAAATACAGCTGAGAGTATGTTAGTTTATGGCTTGGCAGTGAAGTTGCAGGCTCAATATAAATGTAACAGTAAAACAGTGATTGACTATGGAGAGCTGAGCAGATCCATTGACAGGATTGAGGGAAAATATTCTTTAATCTGGAAGCTTTAAATGGATGGGCCAGTGCTACCCCTGCCCCTGGTTTACACAGAACTGACTGTCCATTTCTTGTGAAAATACAATTTCTAGAAGGGTTTAGTATACTGTAGTATTCAAGCATGTTTAAAGCAATTTTTCTGTGCACAATGAACATAAAATTACACAGCACACTATGAACATATGCACAAAACTCTATCACTTGTCAGATGTACATAGAAAAAGGTAATGTCTCAACATGGTATTAGATGTAGACTATCTTGTGTTCAAACTGTTTGATTCAAGCTCATTAAAAATAATAATAATAATACTGGCATTTTGTGTGCTTTTTTGTGTTGTAAAGATCTGAGGTTTTATTTTACTTTTCAAGAAGTAAATTACATTCTGTAAGTTATATCAATATTTACATAAACAAGATGACGAATTGAACTGCTTGTCTGTTTATCTAGTATATATTCTAAAAAATGCAGAATGCTGCTTATTATTTGAAATTTGAACTCTCCATTAAATAATTTAAAAGCTTTTACATTACTTAGATCAGATATAAAGATTAAAGGATTTGGGAGTCTGTCTCTATCTCACACAAACAAATCTCTTTGCTAAAATAATTACTTTGATGCTCTGCTCTGTGTTGTAATTCTAGATATCAAAAATCATATTATGTACAACCTTTACTCAACATCTCTCTTTCAGATGAATTTTATGCACACACACACACACACACAAATATACATACATACATACATATATATAATATATATATATATACACACACACACAAATATACACACACATATATATATATATATATATACACACATTATACATACACACACACACACACACACACACATATTTATATAGCAAATCTTTTACTCAGTGCTTCATATTATTACTCAGTGCTTCAAATTATATTTGAAGAAAGCAGAATTCATGTACATTAATTTAGTATCTTAATCTTAAAAGGATCCTACAGGACCTCTAAAGAAGTATTAAATAAGCAAGTTTGGCCTGACCCTTGCAGTCATAGATTACCAGATTTTGGATTCAAAAGACACCCCATCAAGATGAGACTTGCCTTCGCCTGTGGGGAGTAAACAATTTATCAGAAAAGAGAATGAAACAGAGAGAGCTGCTGATAAATCAAACGCTCTCATACGCACTGTGAACTAGAGCATATTTTTGTTTGCGGTGGCAGAGACACTTTGAGCACAAGTGGAAGATAACTCATGTAGCCAGATCTTTGACTAAACATAAAATCTGACATAATTACACCACAGTCATCAGCCTGGTCTCATTAAAGTATTTGAACAAAACATACATTTTTGTATATTTGTAGAACAGGACATCTGTTTACTGTCAGTGACTCAGGACTGCACAGCATAGCAGTAATAAGTTGCGCTTCATTATATGATACCGTGGTGTAACCATTTTTCACAGCAATTTACACATTTTTTCATGAAAATATCATGAAGATCCACGCAAAAGCTTAAGGAGCTGACAGATACTGTAAGTAGAAATACATCATTTTTTTCTTTCTAATAAGAAAAAGAAATTGTGAGTGTTCATCCAGAACGGTTTCTGACTGGATAATATAGTTATCCAGTTTCAAGTTCAAGGCCGCTGCTGATAAATACACACCAGTGCCACAGATTCTATGTACATTTTGCAAGTTGCTATGTTGCTTGGCAACTATAAACAGTTCATAGATTACAAAAAAAGAGCATTGGTGTCTTTTTGCATATTTTCGCATCCACATTTTTAAAAAGCATTCAGCCACTCAAGGTCATTCCAAGGATAAGCGAGTCCTGCATCGCACCGGTCATAAGAACACCCGCCAGTGGCGGAACGTCCATATAAGCTGCGAGTGCTCCGAATAGCCAGGCAGACTGAGAGAATGAGTTCACACATAAACATGATTATAAATTGATCCCTTGTCATTTGAGATGTTCCTTGAAGCTTAATAAAGTGTTGGGAATAAGTACTTTTAAATTATTTATTTGACAAACAATGGTAATTTTCTGTAAATCTACATCATTTACGGAAGCTTCCGGGCAAGTGGATTCTCTGCAGCTTTGTCTCCTCCGCTCTGTAGCTATGACTCGTCAGGACTGTTGCGTGTTCTCAGTGTTTTGCTGGCATGCAGGTGATTTCATGCTCGAGGTAAGCTGTCTGCGAAGCGCTCGCCCAAGTGGAAAAATGCACTGTTGCTGCCAGATGTCGATTGCTGAAAATTCCATTGTTTGATGCAAAACTAACTCGACTAAATCAAATGAAAAAAAAAATCTTTATATTTTTATGCTCTGTTAAAGATATACGTTATTGTCAACATGCCTAAGTGGTAAGATAAATAAATAAATACAATTATAAAAATGTATATACAATTTTAAATAACAAACATCAGGAAAAAAGAGGAAACAAAATCCTCAGAACATTTTGAACATTCTGAAGATTTTATTTTTATCTATGTTTTCCGTATGCTTGTGTCGTTGTGTCTGGTTTTATCGTTGTTTGCCACGTTACTTGGCAATATTTTAAAGATATTATTTTTGTCATTTGCATGGTCTGTTATTGAAGTAGTGTCACCCGGGTGCGAGTTTTAACTCCTATTCACTGGGAATTAAAAAAGAAAAATCATTCAGTCGATGCAGATATATATAGAAGGGGGGAATCCCCCTTCTCCCCACCCTCTGAATATTACGTATCTTAACGTAACTACGTGTAAACGTTATTTGGCAGTTTTTACTTGGAAAAGCAGCTATGTTTTTATAGCATTCGAATAACTTTGGATAAACCTGAAACGATAGCCTAGAAGGAGGATTGGAGATGAATTTAATTTACAAATAAGGTAGGAAATGTGCATACTTTTAAATCGACACCTGCCACAGTGTTTGCGTCTCTGAGTGCGTCCTAAAAGCCGATGAGGAGGGGGGGATCTTAATCTTAGCACTCAGCATACCCGGTTAAAAATGTCACCGCTCATCACTGACACCCGCTACTTAGGGGAAAACACTATAATGCTCAATCTTGGGTGGCTTTTATAAAATTCAAGTTTTTTTTTTATCTCTGTCAAATTGTGACTACATACAGTATATTTAAGACAAAAGAAAATTAATGTTTTTATTTTTCTATTCGCATTCTCTAGCATTGTTGATTACATGGTCCCAGTTTACTCAGGCCCATATTCTTTGCTGACTGTGCTCTTGTTTTTCTTTAAGGTCTGGCACACCTGATGATGGGCGACCAAGGTATGGCCTCTGTTTTTTTTTCGCTCTTTTGCTTTCTTGTCCTCTCAAGACCTACTTAATGAATTCATTGTTAGGCTGTTGCTGGTCACTGGGGTTGTTCATGATTCGGTCATTAAGACTGTATATATGCACCAGTAGCACAGCATGCACCCTTTTGATCTAGAGTTACAGATCCTCTGAATGTGCTATTATAAGATATTTTTCTACTCCAGCAGAAGTTCCAGGATCTGTGCAATGGTGGCCCATCCACCCCACAACACCACATCTATCACTCATATATGAGTTTCATTTTAGATGCACACAAATACACCAACAATCATTTGCTGAAGAACACAAAAATACTTGTAATTCACATAACAAATCACACATTACAAAATGTATCCTCTGAATGGGCATGTTTCTTTTCCATAAAGGGTAAATATTTTAATTTATTGATTGAAAGGATAACCCGTTGAGATGTAGCATCTCATTTTCGAGGGGGTTCTAGAAACACAAAAATTATATAAGCATACAAATAAAATAACGTTACATAACATACACTGCAAATACACAAATTCACAAACACAAATAGCTGGCTCGTCCTCTCCCTAAAAATACATTATTTTTCAGAAATACTGTATTGTTCTGAATATATATATATATTTTTTTTTTTGTAATTGATATTCAGGGTCTAGACTTTTACTTGTCAATTATACACCTGAAACAACAGGTGGCGCCAAATAGCAACCCACTGCAGTTTATTGTGCTACTGCAATCTAGCCCAGTATTTCTCAACTGGTGCAGTCAAAGAAACAACAACTATGTTTTTATAATGTGAGACTTTTATTTAGAAGAAATACGTGAAAGCTGAGAGAAAAACCAGAGATATATGCACTGTCCTGATTCAGTATCTGTGGTCAGATAAGATGTGGTCAGACTGTATGTCAGTGGCATTATTCTAACTTTATTTTGTAGCTTGTTACTAAATAAAGTCTCTCTCACCTCAGAAAAAGAACTTTCCTGTCCTGTCAGCCATTATACTGTGCTTGTGCGAATAAAGCTCAAAAGAAAGTATGAGCGTGCAACTTCATAGTTATGTTGGTAAATTATGAAATTGCAAAAAAGTTACGTAGTTACGTAAATTAAGTAAATTACGTAGCGTACTATCTAGGAAGGATTTGCATGCAGGTATGTCCATTCTATTAACCAGGAGCAGTTTTCATATGTTTCATTAACTGTTTATGATAGTATTGTGTATTTACCACGGTGACTGTTGTTTCTGTAACCCCAAAATGCTGCTTTATTTTCACTTTTATTTTGTATATTTTTAAATGACTGGTGGGTCATACCAACTTAATTATTTTAATTGGTAACCCTTTAGCATAGGAACCAATTCTCACTTTTAACAATCTGCTTATTAGCATGCATATTACTAGCATATCAGTTTATTAGTACTTATAAAGCACATATTCGGCATTACCATATTCTACATCTCTAATCCTACCTAATACCTAAACTTAACAACTACCTTACTACCTATTAATAAGCAGTAATTAGGAGTTAATAGTGAGTGTAGAGTCTGGACCAATCAGACCAATCAGACACACCATCTTTCATTAGATTTAACAAATCAATTATTCATTAGATTAACAAATCGTCACAGACCCCTCACCCAATAAACATACTGGGTGCCAGGTTGTCTGCGAACGACACCAGGCCCCCGGTCACCATGGAAACCAATGCTGATATCACTGGTTTTATTGCCCAAAGGAATGTGGGTAGAGAAA